GTCATACTCTACTGGACCAGACGTCATACTCTACTGGACCAGACGTCATACTCTACTGGATCAGACCAGACGTCATACTCTACTGGACCAGACCAGACGTCATACTCTACTGAACCACATTAGACGTCATAATCTACTGGACCAGACCAGACGTCATACTCTACTGGACCAGACCAGACTTCATACTCTACTGGACCAGACGTCATACTCTACTGGACCAGACCCAGACGTCATAATCTACTGGACCAGACTAGACGTCATACTCTACTGGACCAGACGTCATACTCTACTGGACCAGACCAGACGTCATACTCTACTGGACCAGACGTCATACACTACTGGACCAGATCAGACGTCATACTCTACTGGACCAGACGTCATACACTACTGGACCAGATCAGACGTCATACTCTACTGGACCAGACCAGACGTCATACTCTACTGGACCAAACCCAGACGTCATACTCTACCGGACAGACGTCATACTCTACTGGACCAGACGTCATACTCTACTGGACCAGACGTCATACTCTACTCTACCACATCAGACGTCATACTCTACTGGACCAGACCAAGACGTCATACTCTACTGGACCAGACCAGACGTCATACTCTACTGGACCAGACGTCATACTCTACTGGACCAGACGTCATACTCTACTGGACCAGACCAGACGTCATACTCTACTGGACCAGATCAGACGTCATACTATACTGGACCAGACCAGACGTCATACTCTACTGGACCAGACCAGACGTCATACTCTACTGGACCAGACGTCATACTCTACTATACCAGACCAGACGTCATACTCTACTGGACCAGACCAGACGTCATACTCTACTGGACCAGACCTGACGTCATACTCTAATGTACATTGAACCAGACGTACTGTAGTCTAAAAGACTATAGATTAATGGTTTTGATGGTAGTGGCCATGATAGCCAATGGTTCCTTGCTGGGTATCATAAATGGATATGTTGATGTACGTCTAGATGCTGCCCATGTTTCCTGGCCTGTGGCGAGCCATTAACTTTCTGATTTTTCTCTCTGCAGCTCGTATTGTCACCCTGTGCGGCGGGTGCAACTAGCTAAAAAAGCAATTAATGTTTTTTTTAGACAAAGCAAAAATGTAGTCGGTTGACAGGCGTGGGTGTGTGGTGATGTGTGGTTGTGTGGAGAGGTGTGGAGATGTGTGGAGGTGTGGTAATGTGTTAAGGTGTCTTGATAGAGTGTAGGTGTGTGACGTGACGTGATGTGAATGTGTGTGGTGACGTGACGTGAATGTGTGTGGTGACGTGATGTGATGTGAATGCGTGTGGTGACGTGAATGTGTGTGGTGACGTGAATGTGTGTGGTGACGTGAATGTGTGTGGTGACGTGAATGTGTGTGGTGACGTGACGTGAATGCGTGTGGTGACGTGAATGTGTGTGGTGACGTGAATGTGTGTGGTGACGTGATGTGAATGTGTGTGGTGACGTGAATGTGTGTGGTGACGTGAATGTGTGTGGTGACGTGAATGTGTGTGGTGACGTGAATGTGTGTGGTGACGTGACGTGAATGTGTGTGGTGACGTGAATGTGTGTGGTGACGTGACGTGAATGTGTGTGGTGAATTGACGTGAATGTGTGTGGTGACGTGACGTGAATGTGTGTGGTGACGTGAATGTGTGCGGTGACGTGAATGTGTGTGGTGACGTGACGTGAATGTGTGTGGTGACGTGAATGTGTGTGGTGACGTGAATGTGTGTGGTGACGTGACGTGAATGTGTGTGGTGACGTGAATGTGTGTGGTGACGTGAATGTGTGTGGTGACGTGACGTGAATGTGTGTGGTGACGTGAATGTGTGTGATGACGTGAATGTGTGTGGTGACGTGACGTGAATGTGTGTGGTGACGTGAATGTGTGTGGTGACGTGAATGTGTGTGGTGACGTGACGTGAATGTGTGTGGTGACGTGAATGTGTGTGGTGACGTGAATGTGTGTGGTGACGTGACGTGAATGTGTGTGGTGACGTGAATGTGTGTGGTGACGTGAATGTGTGTGGTGACGTGAATGTGTGTGGTGACGTGAATGTGTGTGGTGACGTGATGTGAATGTGTGTGTTGACGTGAATGTGTGTGGTGACGTGAATGTGTGTGGTGACGTGACGTGAATGTGTGTGGTGACGTGAATGTGTGTGGTGACGTGAATGTGTGTGGTGACGTGAATGTGTGTGGTGACGTGAATGTGTGTGGTGACGTGAATGTGTGTGGTGACGTGACGTGAATGTGTGTGGTGACGTGACGTGAATGTGTGTGGTGACGTGAATGTGTGTGGTGACGTGACGTGAATGTGTGTGGTGACGTGAATGTGTGTGGTGACGTGACGTGAATGTGTGTGGTGACGTGACGTGAATGTGTGTGGTGACGTGAATGTGTGTGGTGACGTGAATGTGTGTGGTGACGTGAATGTGTGTGGTGACGTGACGTGAATGTGTGTGGTGACGTGACGTGAATGTGTGTGGTGACGTGACGTGAATGTGTGTGGTGACGTGAATGTGTGTGGTGACGTGAATGTGTGTGGTGACGTGACGTGAATGTGTGTGGTGACGTGAATGTGTGTGGTGACGTGAATGTGTGTGGTGACGTGACGTGAATGTGTGTGGTGACGTGACGTGAATGTGTGTGGTGACGTGACGTGAATGTGTGTGGTGACGTGAATGTGTGTGGTGACGTGACGTGAATGTGTGTGGTGACGTGAATGTGTGTGGTGACGTGACGTGAATGTGTGTGGTGACGTGACGTGAATGTGTGTGGTGACGTGACGTGAATGTGTGTGGTGACGTGAATGTGTGTGGTGACGTGACGTGAATGTGTGTGGTGACGTGAATGTGTGTGGTGACGTGACGTGAATGTGTGTGGTGACGTGACGTGAATGTGTGTGGTGACGTGACGTGAATGTGTGTGGTGACGTGAATGTGTGTGGTGACGTGAATGTGTGTGGTGACGTGAATGTGTGTGGTGTTGTGAATGTGTGTGGTGACGTGAATGTGTGTGGTGACGTGAATGTGTGTGGTGACGTGACGTGAATGTGTGTGGTGACGTGAATGTGTGTGGTGACGTGAATGTGTGTGGTGACGTGACGTGAATGTGTGTGGTGACGTGACGTGAATGTGTGTGGTGACGTGACGTGAATGTGTGTGGTGACGTGAATGTGTGTGGTGACGTGAATGTGTGTGGTGACGTGAATGTGTGTGGTGACGTGAATGTGTGTGGTGACGTGAATGTGTGTGGTGACGTGACGTGAATGTGTGTGGTGACGTGAATGTGTGTGGTGACGTGAATGTGTGTGGTGACGTGAATGTGTGTGGTGACGTGAATGTGTGTGGTGACGTGAATGTGTGTGGTGACGTGACGTGAATGTGTGTGGTGACGTGATGTGATGTGAATGTGTGTGGTGACGTGAATGTGTGTGGTGACGTGAATGTGTGTGGTGACGTGACGTGAATGTGTGTGGTGACGTGATGTGATGTGAATGTGTGTGGTGACGTGAATGTGTGTGGTGACGTGACGTGAATGTGTGTGGTGACGTGATGTGATGTGAATGTGTGTGGTGACGTGAATGTGTGTGGTGACGTGAATGTGCGTGGTGACGTGAATGTGTGTGGTGACGTGAATGTGTGTGGTGACGTGAATGTGTGTGGTGACGTGAATGTGTGTGGTGACGTGACGTGAATGTGTGTGGTGACGTGATGTGATGTGAATGTGTGTGGTGACGTGAATGTGTGTTGTGACGTGAATGTGTGTGGTGACGTGATGTGACGTGATTGTGTGTGGTGACGTGAATGTGTGTGGTGACGTGACGTGAATGTGTGTGGTGACGTGAATGTGTGTGGTGACGTGACGTGAATGTGTGTGGTGACGTGAATGTGTGTGGTGACGTGAATGTGTGTGGTGACGTGAATGTGTGTGGTGAGGTGAATGTGTGTGGTGACGTGAATGTGTGTGGTGACGTGACGTGAATGTGTGTGGTGACGTGATGTGATGTGAATGTGTGTGGTGACGTGAATGTGTGTGGTGACGTGAATGTGTGTGGTGACGTGACGTGAATGTGTGTGGTGACGTGAATGTGTGTGGTGACGTGAATGTGTGTGGTGACGTGAATGTGTGTGGTGACGTGAATGTGTGTGGTGACGTGATGTGAATGTGTGTGGTGACTTGAATGTGTGTGGTGACGTGAATGTGTGTGGTGACGTGAATGTGTGTGGTGACGTGAATGTGTGTGGTGACGTGACGTGAATGTGTGTGGTGACGTGACGTGAATGTGTGTGGTGACGTGAATGTGTGTGGTGACGTGAATGTGTGTGGTGACGTGAATGTGTGTGGTGACGTGAATGTGTGTGTTGACGTGAATGTGTGTGGTGACGTGATGTGACGTGAATGTGTGTGGTGACGTGAATGTGTGTGATGACGTGAATGTGTGTGGTGACGTGAATGTGTGTGGCTACGTGACGTGAATATGTGTGGTGACGTGAATGTTTGGTGTGATAATGCTCAAATTGGTTCTACACTAATTAAGGGGTAGAGCACTCTACACGAGAAAAAAAAATCTGTTCCATTAAATTTCCAATGTTTGAATGAAGAAAAATCTTCTTACAGTTGAGAATCTTTTCTTACTAGGCGACGTGTAAAAAGAAATTTCTTTAGCAGAAGGCTTTAGGCAGCTCATGTCCGGGGGATGGAGGGGGGGGGGGGGGGCGGGGATCATCTGCATTAAAAACCTGTCCTCCCTACATGACTTGGTTTTGTTCTCACACCGTGACGTGCTGTTTGTCCTCTCCCAGTGATTTGAACCCATACCTTGTCAGTAGTTCCATTCCCTAACTGCCGGACCTCCCCACCAGCGACCATCATGACCTGTATGTTCGCGATGGTTTTTGTCATGAAATTCTTTCACAAGGTGTGCAGGGTCACAACCCTGTGACCTCTGACCCAGCCGTCTAGCCGTCAGGTGAACACAGCTGTGCAGTTGTCCTGGTGTGTAGACACTGTTGATATCTCACACTTCCGCCACACACCGTGTACACTTGTGGACGTGGGTTTATACACATGTGTACGTGCACTTGTACACATGGGATTATTTTATTTCTCTGATAGTTCCGGGTAAATGTGTTTCACCAACCCCAGTTTGTAGTGATCCATTCAAGGAGTTTTTTTATTCATTGGATCTGTATCGCTTGGATTAATCTGATCAGTCTAGGTCTGTCTCACAGTCTAGGTCTGTCTCACAGTCTAGGTCTGTCTCACAGTCTAGGTCTGTCTCACAGTCTAGGTCTGTCTCACAGTCTAGGTCTGTCTCACAGTCTAGGTCTGTCTCACAGTCTAGGTCTGTCTCACAGTCTAGGTCTGTCTCACAGTCTAGGTCTGTCTCACAGTCTAGGTCTGTCTCACAGTCTAGGTCTGTCTCACAGTCTAAGTCTGTCTCACCGTCTAGGTCTGTCTTACAGTCTAGTACTAGTCTAGATCTGTCTCAGTCTACTAGAGACAGATCTACTAGATCTATTCTAGATCACGGTGACAGCCCTTCTAATTATTCTTATACTAATATAATAATAGTGGACTTAATGCTAGACAGAAATACAAGTGCCTTACCGTCAGACAGTCAAGTAGTAAACCAGACAGACAGTTAAACAGACAGACAGTTAAACAGAGTTGGACAGGCAGGCTATGTAACAGTTGGACAGGCAGGCTATGTAACAGTTGGACAGGCAGGCTATGTAACAGTTGGACAGGCAGGCTATGTAACAGTTGGACAGGCAGGCTATGTAACAGTTGGACAGGCAGGCTATGTAACAGTTGGACAGGCAGGCTATGTAACAGTTGGACAGGCAGGCTATGTAACAGTTGGACAGGCAGGCTATGTAACAGTTGGACAGGCAGGCTATGTAACAGTTGGACAGGCAGGCTATGTAACAGTTGGACAGGCAGGCTATGTAACAGTTGGACAGGCAGGCTATGTAACAGTTGGACAGGCAGGCTATGTAACAGTTGGACAGGCAGGCTATGTAACAGTTGGACAGGCAGGCTATGTAACAGTTGGACAGGCAGGCTATGTAACAGTTGGACAGGCAGGCTATGTAACAGTTGGACAGGCAGGCTATGTAACAGTTGGACAGGCAGGCTATGTAACAGTTGGACAGGCAGGCTATGTAACAGTTGGACAGGCAGGCTATGTAACAGTTGGACAGGCAGGCTATGTAACAGTTGGACAGGCAGGCTATGTAACAAACCTTCCGTGGTATGTTGAAGCTACCTGGACAGATAAATACTGATCTATTTATAGACTAGAAATAAAAACATTGGATCTGCTTCAGTAGCAGACCTGAGTCCGTAGGCAGACGGGCGCATCTCCTGCAGTCATTCGACTCCTGCAGTCATTCGACTCCTGCAGTCATGAAATGTTGACGAGAGAAACTAACACGTCCACTAACAATTACTGACATTTAAAAACAAAAGACCGCAACAACTGTACATCTTTTCGATTGTTTTAATTTGGATCTAAAAATAAACATCACGTATGTGCTGATAACCAATCGTCTGCTAAATGCCGCGATCCAATGACCGCCGACTGCACCAGTTTTAGCCCAAGCATAAATATTGCACTGCTGACCCGTCTAGTGCTGCCGTCTAGTGCTGCCCTCTAGTGCTGCCCCGTCTAGTGCTGCCCTCTAGTGCTGCCCTCTAGTGCTGCCCCGTCTAGTGCTGCCCTCTAGTGCTGCCCCGTCTTTGACGCCATCTAGCTCATCATGCCTGCTGGGATTAAAAACGGGTGAGTTCTTCCCCCCCCCCCCTCATTACGTCACTACCGCTTACCATCATCATCTGGATGTTGACGTTCATTAGTCGCACCCCCCCCCCCAATATTCACGAATCTGATCCCCCCCCCCATACACACACCACCACGCCCTTAATTCTGATCATCACCCTTGCTGCTGTGTTTATAGATGGTGGTTGCTTCATTTGGGTTGGTGGGTTGCTCGCAATATCAGATGATTGTTGTATGTTTTGGGTTGTTGCTAGCGATATCTGATGATTGTTGTATTACTTGGGTTGGTGGGTTGCTAGCGATATCTGATGATTGTTGTATTACTTGGGTTGGTGGGTTGCTAGCGATATCTGATGATTGTTGTATTACTTGGGTTGGTGGGTTGCTATCAATATCAGTCAGCAAACGTCACGTCTCCTTTAAGATTAACTAACACTCAGCACAGAGAAAACCTAGACACATCACAGACATAACATACAAATATCACAGATATAACATACACACATCACAGATATAACATAGACACATCACAGATATAACATAGACACATCACAGATATAACAGACACATCACAGATATAACATAGACACATCACAGATATAACATAGACACATCACAGACATAACATACAAATATCACAGATATAACATACACACATCACAGATATAACATAGACACATCACAGATATAACATAGACACATCACAGATATAACAGACACATCACAGATATAACATAGACACATCACAGATATAACATAGACACATCACAGATATAACATAGACACATCACAGATATAACATAGACACATCACAGATATAACATAGACACATCACAGATATAACATAGACACATCACAGACATAACATAGACACATCACAGATATAACATAGACACATCACAGATATAACATAGACACATCACAGATATAACATAGACACATCACAGATATAACAGACACATCACAGATATAACATATACACATCACAGATATAACATAGACACATCACATATATAACATAGACACATCACAGATATAACATAGACACATCACAGATATAACAGACACATCACAGATATAACATAGACACATTACAGATATAACATAGACACATCACAGATATAACATATATACATCACAGATATAACATAGACACATCACAGATATAACATATACACATCACAGATATAACATACACACATCACAGATATAATATAGACACATCACAGATATAACATAGACACATTACAGATATAACATACACACATCACAGATATAACATATACACATCACAGATATAACATACACACATCACAGATATAATATAGACACATCACAGATATAACATAGACACATCACAGATATAACATAGACACATCACAGATATAACAGACACATCACAGATATAACATACACACATCACAGATATAACATACACACATCACAGATATAACATAGACACATCACAGATATAACATAGACACATCACAGATATAACAGACACATCACAGATATAACATAGACACATCACAGATATAACATAGACACATTACAGATATAACATAGACACATCACAGATATAACATAGACACATCACAGATATAACATACACACATCACAGATATAACATAGACACATTACAGATATAACATAGACACATCACAGATATAACAGACACATCACAGATATAACATAGACACATCACAGATATAACATAGACACATCACAGATATAACATACACACATCACAGATATAACATACACACATCACAGATATAACATAGACACATTACAGATATAACATAGACACATCACAGATATAACAGACACATCACAGATATAACATAGACACATCACAGATATAACATAGACACATCACAGATATAACATACACACATCACAGATATAACATAGACACATTACAGATATAACATAGACACATCACAGATATAACAGACACATCACAGATATAACATAGACACATCACAGATATAACATAGACACATCACAGATATAACATAGACACATCACAGATATAACAGACACATCACAGATATAACATAGACACATCACAGATATAACATAGACACATTACAGATATAACAGACACATTACAGATATAACAGACACACATCACAGATATAACATAGACACATCACAGATATAACATAGACACATTACAGATATAACAGACACACATCACAGATATAACATAGACACATTACAGATATAACAGACACTCATCACAGATATAACATAGACACATTACAGAGACAGCCTGAACACAGCACACAACGTAAATACACCAGAAACACACGCAAACACAAGTAGCATATCTTGTGCCAAGCTTGGCTAGACTCAAGTAAACAATCTTTTCATAAGCTCGTATGGGCAATGAATCTTTGATTGCCTGATTGATTTCTCCCTCCCCCCGACGGAAATGAATGAGTCAAGTTACATTCATCAGCCACGCCGATACAGAGCCTCTCAGGTCCCCCGGGATGCCGGCACGGCACTTGGCCGGCGAATGCCGGTTTACCGGTCTTGTCGTGTACATTAATAACACAGTCATTGTTGTTCTGTCATGGTGCTTTTATGCTGCTGTCATCCTGCTTACCTGGTGCTGCTATGGTGCTGTTATGGTGCTGCTATGGTGCTGTTATGGTGCTGCTATGGTGCTGTTATGGTATGGTCATAGTACTCTCACCAAGTGCTGGTATGATGCCTATAACCAGTGTGGAAGCGATGACCAATATGTACACACCTATGACCAATATGTACACACCTATGACCAATATGTACACACCTATGACACATATGTACACACCTATGACCAATATGTACACACATATGACACATATGTACACACATATGACACATATGTACACACCTATGACACATATGTACCCACCTATGACACATATGTACACACCTATGACACATATGTACACACCTATGACACATATGTACCCACCTATGACACATATGTACACACCTATGACACATATGTACACCTATGACACATATGTACACACCTATGACACATATGTACACCTATGACCAATATGTACGCACCTATGACACATATGTACACCTATGACACATATGTACACACCTATTACACACATGTACACACCTATGGCCAATATGTACACACCTATGACACATATGTACACCTATGACACATATGTACACACCTATGACACGTATGTACACCTATGACCAATATGTACGCACCTATGACCAATATGTACACACCTATGACACATATGTACACACCTATGACCAATATGTACACACCTATGACCAATATGTACACACCTATGACACATGTACACACCTATGACACATATGTACACACCTATGACACGTATGTACACACCTATGGCCAATATGTACACACCTATGACACATATGTACACACCTATGGCCAATATGTACACACCTATGACACATATGTACACACCTATGGCCAATATGTACACACCTATGACACATATGTACACACCTATGGCCAATATGTACACACCTATGACACATATGTACACACCTATGACACATATGTACACACCTATGACCAATATGTACACACCTATGACACATATGTACACCTATGACACATATGTACACACCTATTACACACATGTACACACCTATGGCCAATATGTACACACCTATGACACATATGTACACCTATGACACATATGTACACACCTATGACACGTATGTACACCTATGACCAATATGTACGCACCTATGACCAATATGTACACACCTATGACACATATGTACACACCTATGACCAATATGTACACACCTATGACCAATATGTACACACCTATGACACATGTACACACCTATGACACATATGTACACACATATGACCAATATGTACACACCTATGACACATATGTACACACCTATGACCAATGATGATTGATGACTCTTGAGACATTTATTGATTTAAACTAAATATAGAACCACGTGACATGACCGGTTGGATCTTTGGCGCCTTATTTATGTCGCCACTTTATACACTAGATGGGGAATATTTATAGCGGGGGGGGGGGGGGGGGGGGGGGATAACTTTTTTTTAAAAAGTCGTAGGAAAAAAAAGACAGCTTTTTCTAGAAAAAAATTCACCGAAAAAATTCACTAAGGAAAATTGAATCGGAAAAAAGTCCTAAAAATAAAGTGAAAGAATAAAGTACAAATGTGTATTAAGAAATATTGCAAACTTTAACTTGTTTACTCTGTCTGTCTTTCTGTCTGTCGTCATAGATTGAAACAGCCGAGCAAAATTTCTATTACTTCCAACTGACCGATTCGTTTAAAACTTGAAACGTGGGTAAGGACATGAGGACAATACGATCTGACATAAAATTTTAATTAATTGGATGCCTAATTAATTTTAAAAGAATTAATTAAAATTTCCTATTTAAATTACTATTTACCGCTCTATTATACTTGCATTTTTATGGTCATTATATTGTATAAAAAATTGCATAAAAAACGTTGTAATAACAAGTTTACATGTAATAAGGGGATATGCTCCGTTAAAAAAAATCACATTTCTGTTTTTTCGTCATGATGGGTTTATTGCACTTTTGGGTACTTTATCCATTTTTTGTATTAAGAAAATATTTACTTTTATGGGGAAAAAAATCTTATGTATTTCAAATACCATTTTATTAATTAAAAAAACAATATATTTTTCCCACTCTTACAACCGCTCCACGAAAAGTTTTATATCCGTCATCATATTGTATTTGACATCATTGGAAAGCTGGATTTCTCATGTATTTGATTATCTTGATTTCTATCATCTCCGAAACACCCAAAGCTTACAATTGGTTTTACAAATTACACAGCTTTGGTATTTTCGTGACCAACTTTTCGTTACTTTTGGCTGTTTTTCTCAGTTCGCACTCTTTTAACACTAAAAAGCCTATACTTTTTTACCTTATCGTATACAGAGTATAGAGGAAGTATTGTAATCGTGCACAAAAATCACATGAAATTTTGACAGTTTTCATCGTTTTACACATTGTTGATACGAGCCAACATTGTTGATATGTTGATAAAAGCCTACATTGTTGATATGTTGATAAAAGCCTACATTGTTGATATGTTGATAAAAGCCTACATTGTTGATATGTTGATAAAAGCCTACATTGTTGATATGTTGATAAAAGCCTACATTGTTGATATGTTGATAAAAGCCTACATTGTTGATATGTTGATAAGAGCCTACGTTGTTGATATGTTGATAAAAGCCTACATTGTTGATATGTTGATAAAAGCCTACATTGTTGATATGTGGATACAAGCCTACATTGTTGATATTTTGATACAAGTCAGCGTTGTTGATATTTTGATACAAGTCAGCGTTGTTGATATTTTGATACAAGTCAGCGTTGTTGATATTTTGATACAAGTCAGCGTTGTTGATATGTTGATACCAGTCAGTGTTGTTGATATGTCTATACGCTAATGATTTATTTACAATTTTCTTTTATTTCTTCCAGAGCTGCATGTTCAGAAGAAAATGAACTTTTAAATGCGACATCAATTAAGGTAAGTTATCTGGCGCTTATGGCGCGTCTTGCAGTGATTTTTAATATTCCACGATATCTTACAATGTTAATTAGACCCTCCACCAAATGTAAATGTGACCCTCCACCAAATGTAAATGTGACCCTCCACCAAATGTAAATGTGACCCTCCACCAAATGTAAATGTGACCCTCCACCAAATGTAAATGTGACCCTCCACCAAATGTAAATGTGACCCTCCACCAAATGTAAATGTGACCCTCCACCAAATGTAAATGTGACCATGGACCAACATGACCTTGACTAAAGCGACCTTGACCCCGATGTTCCAGATGACGGAAGCACCATTCGGCAGGTCCGAGTCTGATGACGACATTGTGGAGGACTATGAGGACTCGGTCAGCTTCAAGACGCCCTGCCTTAGGAGCCGCACCCCCCTGGAGACGCTCCTGCTGGCGCTGCTTCTCGTGGCCCTAGTCGTTATCATAGGGCTGGCAGTGGGCTTGACACGCCCCCAGGTTGTCCCAGGTAATTTTTATAGGGCTGGCAGTGGGCTTGACACGCCCCCAGCTTGTCCCAGGTAATTTTTATAGGGCTGGCAGTGGGCTTGACACGCCCCCAGGTTGTCCCAGGTAATTTTTATAGGGCTGGCAGTGGGCTTGACACACCCCCAGGTAATTTTTATAGGGCTGGCAGTGGGCTTGACACACCCCCAGGTAATTTTTATAGGGCTGGCAGTGGGCTTGACACGCCCCCAGGTTGTCCCAGGTAATTTTTATAGGGCTGGCAGTGGGCTTGACACGCCCCCAGGTTGTCCCAGGTAATTTTTATAGGGCTGGCAGTGGGCTTGACACGCCCCCAGGTAATTTTTATAGGGCTGGCAGTGGGCTTGACACGCCCCCAGGTAATTTTTATAGGGCTGGCAGTGGGCTTGACACGCCCCCAGGTAATTTTTATAGGGCTGGTATGTGATCACGTGATGACGTTAGAGATGTGATCACGTGATGACGTTAGAGATGTGATCACGTGATGACGTTAGGGATGGGATCACGTGCTGACGTTAGAGATGGGATCACGTGGTTAGGGATGGGATCACGTGATGACGTTAGAGATGTGATCACGTGATGACGTTAGAGATGTGGTCACGTGATGACGTTAGGGATGGGATCACGTGATGACGTTAGGGATGGGATCACGTGCTGACGTTAGAGATGGGATCACGTGGTTAGGGATGGGATCACGTGATGACATTAGGGATGTGATCACGTGATGACGTTAGGGATGTGATCACGTGCTGACGTTCAGGATGGGATCATTAGTGAGTTGGCTCAGTGGTTTTAAATGGGCAAAAAACGAAGCTACAAAAAACGAGACTACAAAATACGAGGCTACAAAAAACGAGGCTACAAAAATCTAAAAGCTTTAAGGCATGCGAGGTGCTGTTATGGAGCGCTGGCTAAATGTAGAGTTTGTGAGGTGTGTGGACTAGAGGCTCTATACAAACACACATACACACACACACACACACACATACATTATGGAGCGCTGGCTAAATGTAGAGTTTGTGAGGTGTGTGGACTAGAGGCTCTATACAAACACACATACACACACACACACACACACACATACATTATGGAGCGCTGGCTAAATGTAGAGTTTGTGAGGTGTGTGGACTAGAGGCTCTATACAAACACACATACACACACACACACACATACATTATGGAGCGCTGGCTAAATGTAGAGTTTGTGAGGTGTGTGGACTAGAGGCTCTATACAAACACACATACACACACACACACACACATACATTATGTAGCGCTGGCTAAATGTAGAGTTTGTGAGGTGTGTGGACTAGAGGCTCTATACAAACACACATACACACACACACACACATACATTATGTAGCGCTGGCTAAATGTAGAGTTTGTGAGGTGTGTGGACTAGAGGCTCTATACAAACACACATACACACACACACACACACATACATTATGTAGCGCTGGCTAAATGTAGAGTTTGTGAGGTGTGTGGACTAGAGGCTCTATACAAACACACATACACACACACACATACATTATGGAGCGCTGGCTAAATGTAGAGTTTGTGAGGTGTATGGAGTAGAGGCTCAATACAAACACACATACACACACACACACACACACACACATACATTATGTAGCGCTGGCTAAATGTAGAGTTTGTGAGGTGTGTGGACTAGAGGCTCTATACAAACACACATACACACACACACACACACACACACACATACATTATGGAGCGCTGGCTAAATGTAGAGTTTGTGAGGTGTGTGGACTAGAGGCTCTATACAAACACACATACACACACACACACACACACATACATTATGGAGCGCTGGCTAAATGTAGAGTTTGTGAGGTGTATGGACTAGAGGCTCTATACAAACACACATACACACACACACACACATACATTATGTAGCGCTGGCTAAATGTAGAGTTTGTGAGGTGTGTGGACTAGAGGCTCTATACAAACACACATACACACACACACACACATACATTATGGAGCGCTGGCTAAATGTAGAGTTTGTGAGGTGTGTGGACTAGAGGCTCTATACAAACACACATACACACACACACACATACATTATGTAGCGCTGGCTAAATGTAGAGTTTGTGAGGTGTGTGGACTAGAGGCTCAATACAAACACACATACACACACACACACACACATACATTATGGAGCGCTGGCTAAATGTAGAGTTTGTGAGGTGTGTGGACTAGAGGCTCTATACAAACACACATACACACACACACATACATTATGTAGCGCTGGCTAAATGTAGAGTTTGTGAGGTGTGTGGACTAGAGGCTCAATACAAACACACATACACACACACACACACACACACATATATATATATATATATATATATATATATATATTCCGAGCCTGACGGTCCAAGGGGCAGGTGAGTAGAGTTGACCAGTTTCTGTGACCTCGGCATGTGTGCTCAGCATTTTGCTCGCCACATGATTTCTGTCATTTGGGCTCCCAACACACCGCTAATAAATTTGTAAGTCGAGTGACGCCTCGACCCTTCAATGGCTTACAACCTGATTGGTCGACTCTAACTTTACCGACCCTGTCAATGTCCTACATGGTCGACTCTAACTTTACCGACCCTGTCAATGTCCTACATGGTCGACTCTAACTTTACCGACCCTGTCAATGTCCTACATGCTCGACTCTAATGTCCTACATGATCGACTCTAACTTTACCGACCCTGTCAAAGTCCTACATGGTCGACTCTAACTTTACCGACCCTGTCAATGTCCTAAATGGTCGACTCTAACTTTACCGACCCTGTCAATGTCCTACATGGTCGACTCTAACTTTACCGACCCTGTCAAAGTCCTACATGGTCGACTCTAACTTTACCGACCCTGTCAATGTCCTAAATGGTCGACTCTAACTTTACCGACCCTGTCAAAGTCCTACATGGTCGACTCTAACTTTACCGACCCTGTCAATGTCCTAAATGGTCGACTCTAACTTTACCGACCCTGTCAAAGTCCTACATGGTCGACTCTAACTTTACCGACCCTGTCAATGTCCTACATGGTCGACTCTAACTTTACCGACCCTGTCAAAGTCCTACATGGTCGACTCTAACTTTACCGACCCTGTCAATGTCCTACATGGTCGACTCTAACTTTACCGACCCTGTCAATGTCCTACATGCTCGACTCTAACTTTACCGACCCTGTCAATGTCCTACATGGTCGACTCTAACTTTACCGACCCTGTCAATGTCCTACATGCTCGACTCTAACTTTACCGACCCTGTCAATGTCCTACATGGTCGACTCTAACTTTACCGACCCTGTCAATGTCCTACATGCTCGACTCTAATGTCCTAAATGCTCGACTCTAACTTTACCGACCCTGTCAATGTCCTAAATGGTCGACTCTAACTTTACCGACCCTGTCAATGTCCTACATGGTCGACTCTAACTTTACCGACCCTGTCAGATAATTTGGGGGCGGGGAGGTGTTAGATAATTAGGGGGTGAGGTGGCGCTAGATAAGTTGAGGTGTGGTGGTTTAAATAATTTGGGGGTCGGATGGACCAAGCTAATGGATCTTCGACTGTTTGGCCAGAATTGTAGCAGCCTTCGCCATTTTGTTGTGCGCGCATGAACCATTTGAGCGCCTTTATTTGGCCATTTGTCATCTGTAAGAAGAAAATACGTGTCATGTGCATGCCTCTAGGGACGAAGTGTCATTTAACCCAGCTCGTGTCGTGTGGCGACATGTCATTAGGTCGGCGCTTTTTGTCAGGTGTCAGTATCAGCCAGGGGGGAGGGAGTGGGGGCGTTAGGGCGGAAATGGGGTGGCCATCTCATTAGTTAACGTGTTAATGTTTCTGAAGCCTTCATTAGAACCGCTGGTTGCATGAAAGACTCCCCAAGCTCGGAGCTGTCATTCAAACTTTAGCGCAAGTTTCCGTTGGCTGCTATCCGAGATTCAATCGGTGCTCAGATTTTGGCCGCGCACAACGCTCTACGTCTGCTCTGGTCTGTAGTCACACGGAGAGTTGAGCCCATCTTTCTACGTCTGCGCTGGTCTGTAGTCGGTAGCATGTTCCTTTCAACCATGTCCTTGGATATTCGTTTGCGTGTGGTCGTCATGGTTACCGTCGTTTCCGCTCAAAAATGTCTCTACAGCGAAAATAATTCCTTTAATTACAGTAGGTTTCAGTTGTTTTGTCGTGTCACTGTTTCTTGTGCCAGTGTATTGTCGTGTCAGTGTTTTGTTGTGTCAGTGTTTTGTCGTGTCAGTGTTTTGTCGTGTCAGTGTTTTGTCGTGTCCGTGTTTCTTGTGTCAATGTTTCTTGTGCCAGTGTATTGTCGTGTCAGTGAGCTGACAGTGCCGTGTGTTACAGTGACCAAGTACTGCCAGAGCCCTGCGTGTGTCAAGTCCGCCAGCTCCATCCTGTCTAACGTGGACTGGAGTGTCGACCCCTGCACAGACTTCTACCGCTTCGCCTGTGGTCAGTGGATCAAAACCCAGCCCATCCCCCGGGGGTACCACCACTGGGACCGCTTCCAGGAACTTAGCGGGCACAACCTCTACGTGCTGAGTAACCTCATAGGTGAGTACTCCAGTAACCTGATAGGTGAGTTACTCCAGTAACCTGATAGGTGAGTTACTCCAGTAACCTGATAGGTGAGTTACTCCAGTAACCTGATAGGTGAGTTACTCCAGTAACCTGATAGGTGAGTTACTCCAGTAACCTCATAGGTGAGTTACTCCAGTAACCTGATAGGTGAGTTACTCCAGTAACCCGATAGGTGAGTTACTCCAGTAACCTCATAGGTGAGTTACTCCAGTAACCTCATAGGTGAGTTACTCCAGTAACCTGATAGGCGAGTTACTCCAGTAACCTGATAGGCGAGTTACTCCAGTAACCTGATAGGTGAGTTACTCCAGTAACCTGATAGGTGAGTTACTCCAAAACCTGATAGATGAGTTACTCCAGTAACCTGATAGGTGAGTTACTCCAGTAACCTGATAGGTGAGTTACTCCAAAACCTGATAGGTGAGTTACTCCAGTAACCTGATAGGTGAGTTACTCCAAAACCTGATAGGTGAGTTACTCCAGTAACCTGATAGGTGAGTTACTCCAGTAACCTGATAGGTGAATTACTCCAGTAACCTGATAGGTGAGTTACTCCAGTAACCTGATAGGTGAATTACTCCAGTAACCTGATAGGTGAGTTACTCCAGTAACCTGATAGGTGAGTTACTCCAGTAGCCTCATAGGTGAGTTACTCCAGTAGCCTCATAGGTGAGTTACTCCAAAACCTGATAGGTGAGTTACTCCAGTAACCTGATAGGTGAGTTATTCCAGCTACATTAGGTGATTTAGTCTACCTTCTTTACTGCCAGTGACATGCCCACATTACTATCTTCTCAATGAGTTTCTTCCAGGTATCTCTCTCTCTCTCTCTCTCTCTCTCTCTCTCTCTCTCTCTCTCTTTATATATATATATATATATATATATATATATATATATATATATATATATATATATATATATATATATATGGTGGGGATGACACCATGAGTTACCGCACCTGGTGACACCCGACCTAGCGACGTCACTGTGTTAAGAATAGTATTAGTACCTGTACTTTTAGTATATACCTACTCTATACTTTCTACTAAGTTTATACAGTTAGAGTACTTAGCTATTTAGTAGGGAGGCCTAATAAAAAATTATTAAAATTACGTAAAAAAAAACATTTTGAAGAAAACTAGGTAATAATTAATAAAAATCATGTTAGATCTTATTAATGTGAGTAACAGTAATATCATAGTGAGCCAATTACAATGTATTTTTTTTACAGCCTCTATCGAACTTAAAATTCTGGCGTTCGCCTTTTTGTTTATTTTGGTCACCATGTCCGCTATAGTGTATTTTTGAACGCGGGTGCTATTCGGTTTCCTGGGCTTTCCCGTGAGCGCTATTGCGCCTACGTACGTTTTAAAGTGTGAGATAGACTATGGATAAGATGGGGTATTATAGTCGTTCACTAAACTAAAACAAACGCGGTGGCACGATGACTAAACCAAGCCAGGCACCGTACGCGGCGCCCCAGCGGTAATGTAGCCGAGGGCTCCCAGTAGCGCCCTGCTACGTCACGGACATCTGGGCGGTCGTTGAAGTGTTTCTACTTTCTACCTCACTGTTACGTCACGGACATCTGGGCGGTCGTTGAAGTGTTTCTACCTCACTGTTACGGAGCGAGATGTTTTCTACCTCACTATTACGGAGCGAGATGTTTTCTACCTCACTATTACGGAGCGATATGTTTTCTACCTCACTATTACGGAGCGAGTTTATGTTTTCTACCTCACTATTACGAAGCGAGATGTTTCTACCTCACTATTACGGAGCGAGATTGACGTACACTCAAGGTTGTCATACGCCTGCCCGGTTGTGTGGGCTAACCCGTGCCCCGACAAATAGAACCCAAGGAATATAGCGCAGATATTGTTTACATTTAAATAACTCAATCTGTGCCCAGGCTGGGATACCCCGGGGAACGAACTTGATCTGTCCTTAAACTGTAATACCTCGGGTTACGGATTTCACTTTCAGTTAAGCTTAACGTGACGGTCTGCTAGAAACGAGTAGAATGTTCCAGAGGCATAGCGACCCTTCACGGCGCCCGGGGACAAACTTTCGATTTGCACCCCCCTTCAATCTTTCTATTTGCACCCCCTCAAACTTTCGATTTGTTTTTCAAACCCATTTTGGCGATCCATAAGGCGCCCGAGAACATATGTCCCCCCCCCCCCCCGCCCTCCCCCCTCTCGCTACGCCTCTGGAATGTTCCATTTGTATTTAAATATGGCAATGCTAGCCGAAAGTTGTCGAATGTTGCCGAATGTTGTCGAGTGTTGCCGAATGTTTCCGAATGTTGCCGAACAAATGAAGTTTGTCCTTCCAGAGACGAAGCCTGCGAGCGGGGAAAGTTTTGAGAAGACCCGCCGCTTCTACCAGAGCTGTACCAGCTCCGGCTCCAACAAGACGGACATCCTGCAGCAGTTTGCCCAGCTGATTGATGACGTCGGCGGCTGGAGCTACAGCAAGAATGACTCATTCGACGAGTGGTCATTCATGGTCAGTTCTGTGTTGTCATTCATGGTCAGTTCTGTGTTGTCATTCATGGTCAGTTCTGTGTTGTCATTCATGGTCAGTTCTATGTTGTCATTATGGTCAGTTCTGTGTTGTCATTCATGGTCAGTTCTGTGTTGTCATTCATGGTCAGTTCTGTGTTGTCATTCATGGTCAGTTCTGTGTTGTCATTCATGGTCAGTTCTATGTTGTCATTATGGTCAGTTCTGTGTTGTCATTCATGGTCAGTTCTGTGTTGTCATTCATGGTCAGTTCTGTGTTGTCATTCATGGTCAGTTCTGTGTTGTCATTCATGGTCAGTTCTATGTTGTCATTATGGTCAGTTCTGTGTTGTCATTCATGGTCAGTTCTGTGTTGTCATTCGTGGTCAGGTATCTGTGGTCAATCCTAAGTGGTTGTGTGTGTTGCTCATTGTCAGTTCTGCTATGTGTGGTAATGTGTGTCAGTGTAAAAAAAAGCTAAATAGCCACACTGTAACCCCCCTCCCCCCCCCCCCCTCCCATCCTATACGACCACAGGTGGCGCTAGAGAGGATCCATCAACTTGGAGCCTGGCCACTGTTTAAACTCCTGGTCGAGGTGGATGAAAGGGACCCAACTCTTCAAAATATTATCAAGGTAGGTAACTATGAGCTGTTTAGTTCAGAATCAGTGGCTGTATTCAGTTTTAGATGTTATTAATGTCATAAATTTATGCCCAGTGTTTCCTCCAGACTTTTTTCTCTGCGAGTGCACTTGAAATTTGTTAAAAGTACATATTTTGTATGTAAATTCCATTTGGTTTGGGGTGGGGGGGGGGGACGGTAGACTTTTTCAGGGGGATGCAGAGACGTAGCGACCCTTCCCGGCGCCCGGGGACAAACTTTTCGATTTGCACCCCCCCCTCAAGATTTCCATTTGCACCCCCCTCAAATTTTTCGATTTGCACCCCCCTCAACCTTTCAATTTATTTTTCCAACCCATTTTGGCGCCCCCTAAGGTCGGCGCCCGGGGACATATGTCCCTCCTCGCCCCACCCCTCGCTACGCTACTGGGGGGATGGGCTCTGCCCCCCCCCCCCCTTCCCATAAAGATGCGTGGAAGAAACTCTGTTTGGGATATTATTAATGTCATAAATTTGTGCCCAGATTGATGTGGGATGTTATTAATGTCATAAATTTGTGCCCAGGTTGATGTGGGATATTATTAATGTCATTAAGTTGTGCCCAGATTAGTTTGGGATGTTATTAATGTCATAAATTTGTGCCCAGGTTGGTTTGGGATGTTATTGTCATAAATTTGTGCCCAGATTAGTTTGGGATGTTATTGTCATAAATTTGTGCCCAGATTGATGTGGGATGTTATTAATGTCATAAATTTGTGCCCAGGTTAATTTGGGATGTTATTAATGTCATTAAGTTGTGCCCAGATTAGTTTGGGATGTTATTAATGTCATAAATTTGTGCCCAGGTTGGTTTGGGATGTTATTGTCAAAAATTTGTGCCCAGATTAGTTTGGGATGTTATTGTCATAAATTTGTGCCCAGATTGATGTGGGATGTTATTAATGTCATAAATTTGTGCCCAGGTTGATGTGGGATATTATTAATGTCATAAATTTGTGCCCAGGTTGATGTGGGATATTATTAATGTCATAAATTTGTGCCCAGGTAGATATGGGATGTTATTAATGTCATAAATTTGTGCCCAGGTAGATATGGGATGTTATTAATGTCATAAATTTGTGCCCAGATTGATATAGGTGAGACAGTGCTGCCACCAGACTTGATACCTTACCAGTGGAACTTTACCAACAATGGCACAACCAATAACTCTGTACCAATCAAAGATTCTATTCAGGTAAAAATAGTGTCAGATAATTAGGTAAACGTTGAGATCCCTCCAATCTCTACCTGTTACAAAAAAGTTTTAGGCTGGTATCTTTTTGTCCAACTCACAATAATTTAACCCCTCTATTGTTGTGTTACTTCTCACATTAAATATTGCAGCCCATTTAATCCAATCTAACATGACACATTTAAATATTGCAGCACATTTAATCCAATCCAACATGACACATTTAAATATCGCAGCATTTTAATCCAATCCAACATGACACATTTAAATATTACAGTACATTTTATCCAATTCAACAAGACACATTTGAATATTGCAAAACTTTAAATCCAATTCAACAAGACACATTTGAATATTGCAAAACTTTAAATCCAATTCAACAAGACACATTTGAATATTGCAAAACTTGATTTCAGTTGAAGAAAGTTTTCATGGCTGAGACAATTCAACTGTTTAGGTCTTTTGGTGCTAATGAAACAGATGCCAAAAACAGGGCTGAACAAATGCTAGAAATTGAAAAAATCATCACATCTGTAAGTGGCTGGACTGAAATGTTGACATTATATATGCCCTATTCTGAGCTCATGAGAATTATTTACTGTTTTTCTAGCAGAGCTTTCACAGTATCGTATTACCACCTTTAGGCTTATACTACCTGTATTATATCTAATTCTAAGTGTAAATATTATTTCCATTAATTTTGCAGGCATCTGCAGGCTATCACCACCTGCATGACAGGTTCAGCCTGTACAATGTCATGACTGTTGCTCAGCTGGAGTTTAATTATTCCATGGTAAATTATTTTTTAATTACAACTTAATTACCCCATTGTAATTTTTTCACAGTAAATGATATCTTTATACCTTAGTTGTTCCATGGTAAATTATTTCTTGACAACTTAATTATTCCATGTTCAATTATTTTTGGGCAACTTAATTATTCCGTTTTTAATTATTTCATGTTCAATTATTTTTTGGCAACTTAATTATTTCATTCAATGGTAAAAAATGTTTGTACCACTTAATTATTCCCTGTCAATTATTGCTTCACAACTTAATTATTCCATGTCAATTATTGCTTCACAACTTAATTATTCCATGTCAATTATTGCTTCACAACTTAATTATTCCATGTCAATTATTGCTTCACAACTTAATTATTCCAATAAAAATTCACGAGTGTAATACAATGACCAGGCACATAAAGTCGTATATATGGTGGCAGCTCATTCAGGGCAGTGGAAGAGTAGCTTAATTTGGACATTCTGAATGCTGCTTTTTAATTTTTTTTTATGTGGATGATGTGTTGGATATTCAACTTTTTGACAGAAGAGTTTTCTATTTTTAGCTACTGTGGCCACAATACCTGAACTCTCTGGGATTTTTTGTTGGTACTGAAACAGAGGTCGTTGTCCTCCACCCTGACTACATGGCTAGAATAAGTCATTTTCTGCGAGACTATTACAATGGACCCATAGAGAAGCAACGGTAATTATTTTTAGTAGTCTTACATTTTTCTGCTCTAATGTTTCAGTTATGAAATAGTTTATTAACTTCGAAATTAAGGAATTTGTCAGTGTTTTGATGAGAACAAGCACATTTTTTATAGCGCTACTGATTATGTGTAGGAAAATATAAATTTTATAAAATGGAAAGTAAGTGAAAATAATATTTACTATCAGTAGGGCTTACATAAAAAAAAACATTATAATGATATGGCATATATTTTTAAATACATCTATTATAATATCTATGGTATGTATTTTAAATACATCTGTTATAATATCTATGGTATATGTTTTAAATATATCTATTGTAATAATCTGTGGCATAGGTATTAAATATATCTATTATAATATATGTGGTATATGTTTTAAATGTATCTATTATCATTTCTATGGCATAGGTTTTAATTTTATTGTAAGACCTTTAGCATTATGTGATTACAGATTTAAAAAATGGAAGAAATAAAACATTTTTAAAATAGATAAAATGCAACACTTTGAGAATAATATACATAGATATAAATATTTTTTCTAGCTATAGTTGTCAAGTTCTGGCTAACTTAACTATATCCTCACGAAAAGAATATTTTTCTTCAGAATTTTGAGAGATTACCTTGCCATCAGTTTACTGCGTTCTTTCCGGCCATTTTTTGATAAATCTATCTTTGAGATTACAGAAACAGGTGACATATTTATCTTTTATTTTATTTCTAATTTAACCAACAGCTTTCTGACTGGCAAAAAAATGTCTCTTGAATTTTCTAGAGTTTTCCGCCTGTAACTCTTAACAAAAAAAATGGATAAATAGAATTTCTTGAGGTGAATGTTTGAGATAACTAGGTTTTTCTTGATATTTGAACAGAAGAGGACGAAATGGAGGAAGTCTGGAAGAGATGCACTTTCTACACCAACAAAGCAATGGGCTTTACAACGGGAGCTCTCTATGTGAAAGGCACTGATTCTGAGGGCAGTGTTGAGAAGGTTAGTGGCACATGTTGGCCCATGTTTGTTGGCCCATGTTTGTTTGCCCATGTTTGTTGGCCCATGTTTGTTTGCCCATGTTTGTTGGCCCATGTTTGTTGGCCCATGTTTGTTGGCCCATGTTTGTTTGCCCATGTTTGTTGGCCTATGTTTGTTTGCCCATGTTTGTTGGCCCATGTTTGTTTGCCCATGTTTGTTGGCCCATGTTTGTTGGCCCATGTTTGTTGGCCTATGTTTGTTGGCCCATGTTTGTTTGCCCATGTTTGTTGGCCCATGTTTGTTGGCTCATGTTTGTTGGCTCATGTTTGTTAACCCATGTTTGTTGGCCTATGTTTGTTGGCCTATGTTTGTTGGCCCATGTTTGTTGGCTCATGTTTGTTAACCCATGTTTGTTAACCCATGTTTGTTGGCCTATGTTTGTTGGCCTATGTTTGTTGGCTCATGTTTGTTGGCCTATGTTTGTTGGCCCATGTTTTGTGGCTCATGTTTGTTGGCCTATGTTTGTTGGCCCATGTTTTGTGGCTCATGTTTGTTGGCCTATGTTTGTTGGCCTATGTTTTGTGGCTCATGTTTGTTGGCCTATGTTTGTTGGCCCATGTTTTGTGGCTCATGTTTGTTGGCCTATGTTTGTTGGCCTATGTTTTGTGGCTCATGTTTGTTGGCCCATGTTTGTTGGCCCATGTTTGTTGGCCCATGTTTGTTGGCCTATGTTTGTTGGCTCATGTTTGTTGGCCTATGTTTGTTGGCCCATGTTTGTTGGCCCATGTTTGTTGGCCCATGTTTGTTGGCCTATGTTTGTTGGCCCATGTTTGTTGGCCCATGTTTGTTGGCCTATGTTTGTTGGCCTATGTTTGTTGGCCCATGTTTGTTGGCTCATGTTTGTTGGCCTATGTTTGTTGGCCTATGTTTGTTGGCCCATGTTTGTTGGCCCATGTTTGTTGGCCTATGTTTGTTGGCCTATGTTTTGTGGCTCATGTTTGTTGGCCCATGTTTGTTGGCCCATGTTTGTTGGCCTATGTTTGTTGGCCTATGTTTGTTGGCCCATGTTTGTTGGCTCATGTTTGTTTGCCCATGTTTGTTGGCCTATGTTTGTTGGCTCATGTTTGTTGGCCTATGTTTGTTGGCCCATGTTTGTTGGCTCATGTTTGTCTGGTGAAGGCAGCATTGTGAATACTGTTTTTTTCTGTTTTCTTTTTTTTTTTTTTTGTCAGCTGTGTCAGAGTTTATTGATTTTACATTGGTAGAGTTCGTTTTTTACAATTTTTTTTTTTGAGTGATGAACATGTTTTTCAAATGGAAAAATTCACTGTGGTCCTATACGTGAAAAATGTTTCTCTGTTTGAAAACCTTAAAATGTGAAAATGATTCTCAGATGGAAAAACTCATTACATATGTGAAGAATGCATTTAAAGATTTTTTGCTGAACAAATACTGGATGGACAAAAAGACTAGGGGGAAAGCTGAAGAGAAGGTACCCTGCATTGGTTTTCAAAATTTTCTTTTTGTGCTCATCCCTTTCAACATATTTATTTATGCACATTAAAAAAAAGATTGTCTAGGTAATGAATGCTTGTTGTCTTTCAGGTTGATGCCATTATAGATAAGATCAGCTATCCTTCTTACATACTCAACAATACTTTCCTTGATAAATATTATGAGAATGTAAGTCTTAAAGCATGATTTTAAGCTTTTATTGATGTAAGTCCCAAAGCATGAGTTTAAATTGCGACTCTTCATTTTAATAATGATGCCCTTACAACTTGAGGTGTTCTGCACAAAGTGAATGAAAAAATAAAGCAGTGTTCATTGTTTTCAGTTTGATGTTAAACCTTATGATTGGCTCTCTAATCTTCTGTCTTGGCGGAGATTTTTACTGGGCAATATGAATGTAGACCTGCATGTAGTGCCAGACAGAAAATCCAGGTACTTTGGCTTTTATCTCAGGGCTTTATCTGGCAACATCACTCAGTTCCTGTTTATATTCAGCCATTTTTAAAATAAAATTAAAGCAGTACTCTGTGTCGTGTGGATTTAAGTGTAGCATATTCTTAATGTTGTGAAGACTGGAATACACAGGTTTCTCTTTTGTCCTCTTTCTAGCTGGATGCGACCACCAGTGACTGTCAATGCCTACTACTCACCAACAAGAAACGATGTCATTTTTCCCATTGCTATGTTCCACTTGCCATTTTACATTCCAGATGGCCCCAGGTGAGCTATCTCTTTCTAGTCTAGTTTTGTGTACAAAACATCATTAAACTTTAAACTTTTCAAAACTAGACTAGACTAGATTCTAGCCTAGATCTGTTGTCAATGCATAAAATGGTAAAATCGTCCGAGGCTAGTAATGTCATCATATGTGAAAAAAAGGGGGTAATCTATCGTTTTAACTTTTAGGTAGACTCTGCGTAAAATCGCCCGCGACTAGTAATGTGAAAAACAGGTGACTCCTTACATTTTAATGATTATTTCACATTTTGATTTATGTTTTGAAAAATACAAAAGTGTTTCCTTGTTTCATTTATGTACCTGTTTTTAAACAATTGAATTAAAACTTTTCAATAATAAATGAAGACTAGCGATGTTTCCAACAGATGCAACCATGCTCATTTACTATAGCAGCCATCTTGTTTAAGTTTTTTTTTGTAAACTTATAGACTAGCGCAAGATTCAGGGGAAGCCACTCTATTTTACAAATGGCTGCTGTTTATACAGAAAATCTTGCTCGCAAACACTGCTGTTTAAAGTTAATTTCAGGCCTGTATTGATATATTTAGCCTTTGATTTATGGTTGATTATTCATTTATCTATAATATTTGACACAAATATATTACAATATACTTCTATTAAAGCCTTGACTATGGGGTAACTTTTTCGTACATTACTAGCCGCTGGCGATTTTACGTACCTAAAACGATAGATTACCAAAAAGGGTAATCTATCATTTTAGTTAAAGTTTAGAGTTGCGTAAAATCGGCCAAGGCTAGTAATGTGCGAAAAAGTTGCCTCATTGTTAAGGCTTTAATGGACACCAGCGAGAAAAGTCTCAAAGGTATTTGAGAGGTGTATAAATTCATTTAAAAATCATGCACAGCATAGTTACAATTAATATGGTTATAAAATCCTGCCTGTCTGGTTTTTTTCGGACTTTACTAAAGATTGGATGTATTTGATGTTTATTATATTATCGGTAACTAAATATAAATTTAAAAAAAAGCAAAAACAATTTGGTTTTCACGTGTAATGGCGACATAAACAATGGCATCCTGCTATTGGATAGGCCGCAATTGATTTTATTGTACACATTGTAAGCTAAAAATAGAAAACTAGGTCATGGGGTTTTAAATTTGCATTGTTATTTAAAAACTTGATCTGCAAAGTTTTGTAAACAAATAGTTATCGATCACTAAGTTACTGTACAGCCAATCAATATTTGTCTTACGAAAGTGAAACATCCGGTTATAACTTTGGCTTGATGAAAAAAAATAGAAATGTAGCCTTAAACTCAACAAATTATTTTCAAGTTCTCTGGATTTGCAACTTTTATAGCATTTATTCTAAAAATATAAAATTTCTAAATTAATTTTAGGCTTAAGTTTTTATTTTTTATTTTTTTTTACGGTCTAAATCTAAAAAGCACGTTTTTATTCCATGTCAACAACATTATGGAAGGAATCTCGTCAACTCGCTCGCCTCCATAGAAGTATATTGTCATATATTTGTGTCAAATATTATAGATTACTGAATAATAAACCAAAATCATTGGCTAAATATATCAATATAGGCCAGATTCTAACTTTAAACAGCATTGTTTGCAAGCAGGATTTGCTCATAAAAAGTGGCCATCTGTAAGTTAGAGTGTTTTCCCCTGAATCTCTAACTATAATTTTACTTTAAAAAAAGATGGCTGCTAAAGTAAATGAGCTTGGTTGCATCTGATGAAAACATCGCTAGTCTTTATTTTTTACTGAAAAGTTTTAATACAATTGTTTAAAAACAGGTACATTAATGAAACTTTGAAACATTTTTGTAACTTTCAAAACATAAATCCTCCTCAAAATGTGAAATAATTTCAAAAATTTAGTGAGTCGCCTTCTTTTCACATTACTAGTCATTTTACGTACCTAAAACGATAGTATACTAAAAAAAAGATGACTCATTATATAATATTATATTAATAAATATTAACTTTATTATTAAACTTTAATACAAGTAGATCTAGGTTACCTAAATCTATATTTAAACTATATTTGTGTCAAATATGATATATAATTGAATAATTGAAGATTTGCTTTAGAATTATCTATTATAATTTAGTACATAAATAGCGGCCATCTATAATTTAAAGTGGTTTCCCCTGAATCTCTGACTAAAATTTTACCAATAAAAAACATTAACAAGATGGCTGCTAAAGTAAATGAGCTTGGTTGCATCTGATGAAAACATTGCAAATCTTTATTTATTACTGAGAAGTTTTAATACAGTTGTTTAAAAACAGGTACTTGAATGAAACTCTGAAATATTTTTGTAACTTTTAAAACATAACTCCTCCTTGAAATGAAATGATTACTAAAATTTAATGTGTCACCCTTTTTTCACATTTCTAGCCTCTGCTGATTTTACGTACCTTACAATGATAAATTACCCATAAAATTTATCATTAAAAAAAGACGAAGCATTCATTTTGTAAGTTAACAGTAGTTAACACAATCATAAATAGCAACAATTTCTTTTCTCTCAGTGCTGTCAACTTTGGCGCCATGGGCTCCATCATAGGTCATGAGATAACCCATGCCTTTGACTTTCAAGGTAGGTTATGATTTACATTTCTATTCTACTATTAACATTGTTTAATTTTGCTGAAGTTTGAATTTAGTGAGCAAAAGATATACTCTGGCAGGACTAGCAATAGTAAGTTAGTGAGATTTGCTTATGTAGGGGCCTACTCAAGTCTAGTAATTACCAGTACTTTAGAAGAAATTAGATGGCTAAAGAAGCATACCAAATTTGGCTATCTTTTTTATTCCCCCCTCCATCACCCAGGCAATGGGCCAGGTTTGAACATGTGACTTTGTAGCATGTGACTTGTCTGATGTAAGTCATGTGTTCCATGTTTTCCCCCCAGGACGCCAGTATGACGGGCAGGGCAAGCTGACAGACTGGTGGGATGAGCAGACTGCCAGCAACTTCCTGCAGACAACGGCCTGCATGAAAGACCAGTACAGCAGCATGAAGGTCAGGGGTGTCAATGTAAGTCACACACAACACACCTGTGTGTCAATGTAAGTCACACACAACAGACCTGTGTGTCAATGTAAGTCACACACAACACACCTGTGTGTCAATTAAGTCTTACACAACACACCTGTGTGTCAATGTAAGTCACACACAACACCTGTAGCAATCAGACTTGGCAGAAAGTGACAACCAGCTGTGCCATTAAAACTAAAATTAGGTTGTTTACAGGGGTAGGTGGCAAAATTAGGTTGTTTACAGGGGTAGGTGGCAAAATTAGGTTGTTTACAGGGGTAGGTGGTAAAATTAGGTTGTTTACAGGGGTAGGTGGTAAAATTAGGTTGTTTACAGGGGTAGGTGGTAAAATTGACAGATTTCTGACAGGAAATTTTCACCTTGGCATCAGTCCCATATTGGTGTTAGTCTCTTAGGCTTGTCCTTCATTATAATTTATAGTTAAAGACCCTATAAATGTCCCACCAATAGCCTAACATGTCCCACCAATAGCCTAACATGTCCCACCAATAGCCTAACATGTCCCACCAATAGCCTAACATGTCCCACCAATAGCCTAACATGTCCCACCAATAGCCTAACATGTCCCACCAATAGCCTAACATGTTCCACCAATAGCCTAACATGTCCCACCAATAGCCTAACATGTCCAACCAATAGCCTAACATGTTCCTAAGTGTGTCATGTTTGTATCAGTTGTTTTCCTTAAACACTGTGAGAATGAAATGATGTTCTTTTTTTTTTTTTGTATCAGGTCATTTGTTTTGCTGAACTGTGTAATTGTATTTTTTATACAACAGCTATTGATTTTGAGCAGAGAAATATTTTGGTATTGAACTGCCTTATAAAAAGTTTTAGGTCTTGAATAACACATTTGAATTTTCATCATCAGATTGACGGAGATTTTACTCTAGATGAAAACATTGCAGACAATGGAGGACTGAGGGCTGCCATGTTTGTAAGTAAACAACTCATGAAACTGTCTTTATCTAGTTGTTTCCTGTGGCCTCTCACTAAGCTCTCTTTAACTGTGCTGATGGCCACTGTGCTGCTGGCCACTGTGCTGCTGGCCACTGTGCTGCTGGCCACTGTGCTGCTGGCCACTTTGCTGTTGGCCACTGTGCAGCTGGCCACTGTGCTGATGGCCACTGTGCTGCTGGCCACTGTGCTGCTGGCCATTGTGCTGATGGCCTCTGTGCTGATGGCCACTGTGCTGCTGGCCACTGTGCTGCTGGCCACTGTGCTGATGGCCACTGTGCTGCTGGCCACTGTGCTGCTGGCCATTGTGCTGATGGCCTCTGTGCTGATGGCCACTGTGCTGCTGGCCATTGTGCTGATGGCCACTGTGCTGATGGCCACTGTGCTGCTGGCCACTGTGCTGCTGGCCACTGTGCTGATGGCCACTGTGCTGCTGGCCACTGTGCTGATGGCCTCTGTGCTGCTGGCCACTGTGCAGCTGGCCACTGTGCTGCTGGCCACTGTGCTGCTGGCCATTGTGCTGATGGCCTCTGTGCTGATGGCCTCTGTGCTGATGGCCACTGTGCTGCTGGCCACTGTGCTGCTGGCCACTGTGCTGATGGCCACTGTGCAGCGGGCCACTGTGCTGCTGGCCACTGTGCTGATGGCCACTGTGCAGCTGGCCACTGTGCTGATGGCCACTGTGCTGCTGGCCACTTTACTGATGTCTAATGGTTAAAGAGCTATGTTTCAGGCTTACCAGCTGTGGGTGGAGGAATTTGGGGAGGAGCTGAACCTTGCAGGGCTGAACATGTCCATGTACCAGGTCTTCTACACCAGCTTTGCTCAGGTATCAAACACCTTACATGTCTACAATAGATGGTGTACAATGACTGGTGTTGGTGTACAATGACTGGTGTTGGTGTACAATGACTGGTGTTGGTGTACAATGACTGGTGTTGGTGTACAATGACTGGTTACAATGACTGAAGTACAACTTGTGTACAATGACTGGTGTTGGTGTACAATGACTAGTGTTGGTGTACAATGACTGGTGTTGGTGTACAATGACTGGTGTTGGTGTACAATGACTGGTGTTGGTGTACAATGACTGGTTACAATGACTGAAGTACAACTTGTGTACAATGACTGGTGTTGGTGTACAATGACTGGTGTTGGTGTACAGTGACTGAAGTACAACATGTGTACAATGACTGGTGTTGGTGTACAATGACTAGTGTTGGTGTATAATGACTGGTTACAATGACTGAAGTACAACTTGTGTACAATGACTGGTGTTGGTGTACAATGACTGGTGTTGGTGTACAATGACTGGTGTTGGTGTACAATGACTGGTGTTGGTGTACAATGACTGGTGTTGGTGTACAATGACTGGTGTTGGTGTACAATGACTGAAGTACAACATGTGTACAATGACTGGTTACAATGACTGAAGTACAACTTGTGTACAATGACTGGTGTTGGTGTACAATGACTGGTGTTGGTGTACAATGACTGGTGTTGGTGTACAATGACTGGTGTTGGTGTACAATGACTGGTGTTGGTGTACAATGACTGGTGTTGGTGTGCAATGACTGAAGTACAACTTGTGTACAATGACTGGTTACAATGACTGAAGTACAACTTGTGTACAATGCGTATGACAGCTGATGTACAATAGCTCTTGTCTTGCCAGATGTACTGCAGCAAATGGACAGACTCAGGGCTCTTCTATCACCTCCTAACAGACCCACATAGCCCAGGTTATGCCAGGTATGTCTCAGGTTGGCTCAGGTTGTTGTGGGAGCAGGACATTACTCACTTGCCAGAAAGACACTTACTAGACAGGCACTGGCCCAAATGCCATTTGTCCCAAATTCATTTGTCCAAATGGACAACCCATGTTTCAGGCCCACCACCAACCCATGTTTCAGCCCCACCCCCAACCCATGTTTCAGGCCCACCCCCAACCCATGTTTCAGCCCCACCCCCAACCCATGTTTCAGGCCCACCACCAACCCATGTTTCAGCCCCACCCCCAACCCATGTTTCAGGCCCACCCCCAACCCATGTTTCAGCCCCACCCCCAACCCATGTTTCAGGCCCACCCCCAACCCATGTTTCAGGCCCACCCCCAACCCATGTTTCAGCCCCACCCCCAACCCATGTTTCAGGCCCACCCCCAACCCATGTTTCAGCCCCACCCCCAACCCATGTTTCAGGCCCACCCCCAACCCATGTTTCAGGCCCACCCCTAACCCATGTTTCAGACCCACCCTCAACCCATGTTTCAGCCCCACCACCAACTCATGTTTCAGATCCACCACCAACCCATGTTTCAGACCCACCACCAACTCATGTTTCAGCCCCACCACCAACCCATGTTTCAGACCCACCACCAACTCATGTTTCAGCCCCACCACCAACCCATGTTTCAGACCCACCACCAACTCATGTTTCAGATCCACCACCAACCCATGTTTCAGACCCACCCCTAACCCATGTTTCAGCCCCACCACCAACCCATGTTTCAGCCCCACCCCTAACCCATGTTTCAGCCCCACCACCAACTCATGTTTCAGCCCCACCACCAACCCATGTTTCAGCCCCACCACCAACTCATGTTTCAGATCCACCCCTAACCCCAGTTTCAGCCCCACCCCTAACCCATGTTTCAGCCCCACCACCAACCCATGTTTCAGCCCCACCCCCAACCCATGTTTCAGCCCCACCACCAACTCATGTTTCAGATCCACCCCTAACCCCAGTTTCAGGCACAGGAGAAAAAAAATGTTTTTTCATTGTTTTAATGAGTCCATGTATTTACCTGTCTGTTTTAACAAATGTCGCCAAAAAAGACTTGTGTAAATATTTTTTTCTCCAGAGTAAATGGACCTCTATCAAACAGCCCAACATTCAACTGGGCCTTTCAGTGCCCCATGGCCAGTCCCATGAATCCTCGGACAAAGTGTGAGGTCTGGTGAAACCTGCTGTATCTGACCAGTGGGTGGGCTGAGTCAGTAAAGAACCTGATTTGGGACAAACTTTTGGTTGTGTCAACAAGTTGTTTTGTCAACTGTTGCAAGCTTTGAAAACTCTCATCTCTTGTACAGACCACCATCTCAATCATGTGATACACAGATCATGTGATACACAGATCATGTGATACACAGATCATGTGATACACAGATCATGTTGTACATTGATCATGTGATACACAGATCATGTGATATGTAGATCATGTGATACACAGATCATGTGATACACAGATCATGTGATACACAGATCATGTGATACATTGATAAACAGAGGACCTGGCCTGGAAGGCTTCAGATTTTTCCTTTGCCTTCTGGTAATTTTTTTTTCAACACAGAGCTAACCTTTAAGCAGAAGTTGTTCTCTCTCTCCCCTACATACACACATACAGACGGTTGTTGGCAAGAAAATTGCTTTTACAAGCTGCAGATATGATGGAGGCTTGAGTTTTGTGAAATCTGCTTGGATCATGAGCTGCTACTGATGGCTACTGCTTGTCCATTCTTTTCTATTGATGGCAAATTATTTTAGTAGGGTTATGGCTCTTATCTAAAGTCAAAAATTGAAAATTTGAGAGGGAAATTGAGGAAAACTTTTGCAGTGTGAAAGTTTGAAAATCAGAAATGAATGACTTGAGTCAATGTTTGGTTGAGTACCTGAATAATTCTCTTTGAAATCAAGGGAGCAGTCATTTGTTTCAAGTCATGTTTGAAACCAAGGGAGCAGTCATTTGTTTCAAGTCATGTTTGAAACCAAGGGAGCAGTCATTTGTTTCAAGTCATGTTTGAAACCAAGGGAGCAGTCATTTGTTTCAAGTCATGTTTGAAACCAAGGGAGCAGTCATTTGTTTCAAGTCATGTTTGAAACCAAGGGAGCAGTCATTTGTTTCAAGTCATGTTTGAAACCAAGGGAGCAGTCATTTGTTTCAAGTCATGTTTGAAATGATAATCCATTGCCCTCTGAGACGCCTTTATGAATTGTGCATGCTCCTGGCCTTTATAACTAGTACACATCATGTTACAACACATCATGTTACAACACATCATGTTACAACACATCATGTTACAACACATCATGTTACAACACATCATGTTACAACACATCATGTTACAACACATCATGTTACAACACATCATGTTACAACACATCATGTTACAACACATCATGTTACAACACATGTTACAACACATCATGTTACAACACATCATGTTACAACACATGATATAACATAATGTTACAACACATGATGTTAAAGATGACGTTACAACATATGATGTTGTATATAATGTTTCAAGTGCCTATTTTATTATGTTCACATAATGTTCCTTGTTGTGTGCAGTTGTTTGATTTACTTTTTTCTTTCTTAGCAACCTCCAAGTCCTATTTTTCAATCTTTACTAACTTTTCACTTTTAAAAGCTTTTTCTTCATTTTCTAACTGCCAACATCAAAACAAATTTCTGTATCTGTACAAGATACACTGTCAGCCAAAATTGCAAAGAACTATTCATTTGTGTGGTGTAAATATTTCTTGTATATTCATGTATTAAAGGACTAAATGCTGAACTGCCATAATGTCAGGTCAGTCTGTTAGATGCAACACTGATCTACAACACAACCCAAACCTGCAACAATGCTCTGGTCAAGATGATTCAACCCATTTTGTCTGGTCCAACAAAACATCTGAAGTCGTATTCTAGTTGACATAAAGGGAGTAAACAAAGTTTAGAGACCCAACAATGAACATGAGGATTAGCTCAGCTATACACATACAAGCATATACGTAATGTATACAACACTAATAGATGCCTATTATTAGTATTTTCTGTAACTAGCCTGTATAAAATAAGAATTTGGTCACAAAATTTTACTACACTCAGCAGTTTTGCCACCGCTTAGTACATTTTTAAATGTCAAGTCTGAGAGAAATCTACCATTCCATTCTTTAGTTCGTTATTTCTTGTATGTTGTTCACACTTGACCTAGTGCACAGATAACTGCACTAGTGCACAGATAACTTCACTAGTGCACATTTGGAATAGACCTGGCCAGGAGCTGCAGATATTGTCCATGTTTGATCTGCACTACCATTTCTTGCTGCAGATATTGTATATGTTTGATCTGCACTACCATTTCTTGCTGCAGATATTGTCCATGTTTGATCTGCACTACCATTTCTTGCTGCAGATATTGTCCATGTTTGATCTGCACTACCATTTCTTGCTGCAGATATTGTCCATGTTTGATCTGCACTACCATTTCTTGCTGCAGATATTGTACATGTTTGATCTGCACTACCATTTCTTGCTGCAGATATTGTCCATGTTTGATCTGCACTACCATTTCTTGCTGCAGATATTGTCCATGTTTGATCTGCACTACCGTTTCTTGCTGCAGATATTGTCCATGTTTGATCTGCACTACCATTTCTTGCTGCAGATATTGTACATGTTGATCTGATTCTTGTATAAATCCCCAGCCTAAAATTGTAATAAAACTCTGCAGCAAGTCCGGGTGTCAATGTACATATACTTTTGTATCTTTAAATGTAATTATTTAACAGTTGTATAATCTATGAGTTCTTTAATATAAGACTTGACAAAAATAGTGATACATTGTCTTTGAGATGTGATAAAAGTGAGTGATGTGACAAAACAGTCATATATTGGGACAAAATTGTGATAGATTATGGCTAATCTGACACGGCAAACATTGCGAGTAGTGTGGCCATTTTTCATACATTGTGACAAAATAATGACAGCCTGTGGTTGGTTACTAATGCAAGTGTTTTGTGTACAAGATCAAAATAGATAGCCCACTTGTAAATTTGTTTTAACAATTGAAATTATTTTAGCATCAAGAGGTTGGCCATCATGAAGGATTTAAAAGTTTTATTTTTTATTTGGTTGTTAAATAAAATGTTTGTTGTATCCCCTTTGTTTCTTCTGTGGCGATGTCATAGACTGGAGTTCTAAAATAGGGGTAGTCACTGACAGTTTCATACACTGGAGCTCTTAAATAGGGAAGATCACTAGCTGATAAGTGACGTGCACAAATTTTGCCAAGCCTATTTTCATCTAGTTCTGGTCCAAGGATCTACTTGTTAACCTTAGAATGTTTTTGTCAACATAGATAAATGGCCTTTTTGTTTTCCCTCCTAGGATGTAAACATAGATCCACCATTTTGTTCATGTAGTCATGTGACCTGTCTTCCACAACGAACATGTACATAAGCACCCACCCCTAGCCGTCTTTAAAATAAACATCTGCCTCTCGAGTTTCTTGTTTCTGTAAGCTTGTCCGATGTTTGTGTGTGAGTGCATGTGTGCTCAATATGTAAATTAGAAATGTAAGAACGTGATCGTTTAATTATATACAGTATATATTATTATATGAAAGTATGTCTGGGTGTGTCAGTTTTTCTGTATAACTACACCTCATCCTATCGTTATGAAAATGTGCAAAGTTTAAAATATTCATGTAGAGTTTTCTACAGTAACAAAAAATGGAGGGGAGGCGCCCAGAGTTGCCCAGCGTGTATCTTAGCACCTGGGATACGTTGATTGATCTTCTCCTTAATTTAACCACCAGACAGCATCAGCCGGCTATCGTATGCCCCGATACGCCCAAATTTCCACCTTGAGCACTAATGACGCCAACGTTAAAATATAGAATTGCGCCTTATTGGGGGGGGGGGCTACTATAATGGTTAACTATATCGAACCAGACCAGTTCGTGTGGGCTGCACTATAGCGCCTACGTTCGTTTTAAATAGTGACTACGAACTTGTGCTTGTACTAAGCAAGTTAAAAAGAAATGTATTGATTCTCTTAATTTTTATTTAAAAACGGCATACAGTCTACTAATAGAAATAGATATGCCTAAATATGTAGTCACTTGAAACCAGTAGAGGTCGGAGAAAGTGAAATGTTTTAGTGATATGTTTGCCGTTCACACAATTCTTTATTCTATTTTTAAAAACTGATTAAAAATCTTGCCTATAACCAGAGTTGCAATCCGCCGTAATGTTATATAAAGGAATTTTATCAAGGAATTTTATGGTATCACTCCCGGTTTATTTCATGTGACTTTTTTCCAACAATCCATAAAACTGACGCCCTTACTTAAATTAGAGTTTGGTATTTTATCTCAGCTCTCAAGTATGCCTGAGTTTTTTTAGTCATTCCTTTGGCGGAGCACTTCCCTCCCCCTGACGCATGTCTACCGCGCCCCACCCCCTTTTTTCCCCAGCAACGAAATATAATTTGTGGAGAAAATTTAACTCAGAAAGAAACACTATGTCTGAGTTACTTTCCTTTGTTCGGATTCAAGAAGGCGGTGCCTTCACTTCCCGCCAAAGCTGGTGGCCTGCGGATGTTTATCTTCTGCACCGGATGTTTCTTTTGATCGCCTGATTGGTCAACATTCCTCGTGAATTCCTGAGCAGTTCTGGCAAATTTTAAAAGATCCAAATTTCCACCAATGGACACCAGCGAGTTGACGAGAATCCTTATCGTAGTGTGGTTGACATGGAATAAAAATGTGCTTTTACTTTTTAGAATTAGGACCGTAAAAATAATAACAAATTAAGCTCAAAATTAATTCAGAAATGCTATAAAAGTTGCGGATCCAGAAAATTTGAAAATAGTTTGTTGAGTTTAGTAAAGTTTAAGGCTACATTTCTATTTATTTTCATCAAGCCAAAGTTATAACACGATGTTTCACTTTCGTAAGACAAACATTGATTGGCTGTACAGGAACTCTGTGATCGATTTCTGACAGTCCCACTTTATAGTTTTTTTTTGTTTACAAAACTTTGCAGATCAAGTTTTTAAATAACAATGCAAATTTAAACCCATTACCTAGTTTTTTTTTCTTTAGCTTACAATGTCTACAATAAAATTTATGGCGACCTATTGAATAGCAGGATGCCATTGTTTATTATGTCGCCATTACATGTGAAAACCAAATTGTTTTTGCTTTTTTTTTTTATTTAGTTACCGAAAATATTAAAAACATCAAATACATCCAATCTTTAGTAAAGTCTGAAAAAAACCAGACAGACAGGATTTTATAATCATCTCTATACTACTAAAACTCAACTTTGTTTACATGTTTGAATATTTATTTGTTTGTCTGATTTACTACTGGAGAGAATCTGCCATATGTATAGACCTGTAAATAGTATGTAGGTAGAAAACAATTATTCTTTTCAGACAGACTGTTAATCACAAATTTATTTAAGGACGTTAATTAATTTATTCATTGGTAGATTAACCACATTAATTTTAAAAGTTTCAAACAATAGCTTTATTTTGACTGAATAGTGACGTCACAATATTTGTTTACTTTTTACTACAATAAAATGGCGGCTTCTATCGAAGAAGATTGTGTTCCCATTCCAATGTTTAACGCGTTCTAAAGCTAATTTTCTGTCGGCTATAACTTTAACAATACTTCCGTTTGCTGTATTTATTAAGTTCCAACACTTATATCAATTTTCAACTGTCTTTTTCATTTAGTTTTATAAAAAATTTCTCTAGATCTACAGATCAGCTGTAGGATGACCCTCGAAACCCACAGTTATATAAGTAGATAACGGGTAGTCTAGTATTAATTGCAACTACGCCGTGCATGATTTTTAAATTAATTTATGGGCCTTTCAAATACCTTTAAGACTTTTCTCGCTGGCGTCCATGGCTGATTGGAATAATTGGATATTAACTTTGTTATTGATGGATGGTGACGTGGACCATCGAGAGAGGAGTTTTGAATGTCATTATATATATATATATATATATATATATATATATATATATATATATATATATATATATATACAGTGCTACCTCAAAATTAATCAAACATTATATCTATACTAATAGTTTCGCTGTCTGTCTGACAAGAACGCTCTGTCTGACAAGAACGCTCTAGAGAAAACACAAGCAATTTAAAAACATGCATAGTATTTCGAAAAACGAAGTATGACGTGGACACATTTAGCGCACAGAGTAGAAAATAATCTCAAGGCGGAAAGTGCACACAGTAATATAATGACGTCATTGATTATCGCGTAAACATTGAATAAAAAGGAAATGTTGTCTAATCTAAATGGTTTGCGTGAAGAGTTTCTTGCATACAATTCTTCGGGTAGGGGCGAAGCCCCCCCCCCCCCCTCCGCGTAAGAAAGTCTGAGCCCCCCCCCCCCCCCTCCCCAACTCAAAAGAAATTTCCTCATCGATACTCTATAATAAAATTACCGCCTAATTAATGTGTCTAATCTAAAAAGTGGTTTTCTTGCAATTTCTTTAATGAAATTCTTCGGGTAGTGGCTAAGCGCGACACCAGTGTTTCTTTCAGACTTTTTCCTCCCCGGAGAGGGGTGGGGGTAATTGAAATTTTCGGGGGCGGGGGTAGAATTTTCGGGAAGGGGGGCGGACACTGGAAAAAGTATATAATTATATTTCGTTGAATGGGACGGTAGACATGATTTTTTTGGGAGTGGGGGGTGGGGGGTAGGGGATGGGGGGGGGGGGGGGGGGTGGTGTGTGTGTGGGGGGGGGGGGGGTGAGTGGGGGGTGGTTTTAATTTAGACTTTTTCCTCCCCGGAGAGGGGTGGGGGTACTTGAAATTTTCGGGGGCGGGTGTAGAATTTTCGGGGAGGGGGCGGACACTGGAAAAAGTATATAATTATATTTCGTTGAATGGGACGGTAGACATGTTTTTTTAGGGGGGGTGGGTGGGGGGGGGGGTGGTGTGTGTGTGTGGGGGGGCTGGGGTGGGGTGAGTGGGGGGGTTTAATTTAGACTTTTTCCTCCCCGGAGAGGGGTGGGGGTACTTGAAATTTTCGGGGGCGGGTGTAGAATTTTCTGGGAGGGGGCGGACACTGGAAAAAGTATATAATTATATTTCGTTGAATGGGACGGTAGACATGTTTTTTGGGGGGTGGGGGGGGTGGGGGTGGGGGGGTTGGGGTTGGGGGGTGGTGTGTGGGGTGGGTGGGGTGGGAGGTGGTGTGTGTGGGGGTGGGTGGGTTAGTTTTAGTTTAGAGAAAAGAGACAGCACTATCAACCTAGCGCCCGGTGTATCCTTCCTCAACGGGCCATTTTTCTCGTAGTAACATATAAGTTCAATTCTGTTCGGTAAGTTACCTTCCGCAAAGTTTAGGGGTTAAGTGTAGCGTTATCAATTAGTAAGTAAACGAAGTGAAACGCCTACACTGGGCCCACACCTCCATCCTACACTGGGCCTACACCTCCAACCTACACTGGGCCTACACCTCCAACCTACACAGAGGCGTAGCGGGGGGACATATGTCCCCGGGCGCCGACCTTAGGGGGGGGGCGCCAAATTGAAAGTTTGAGGAGGGTGCAAATGAAAAGTTCAAGGGGGAGGGTGCAAATGAAAAGTTTGAGGGGGGGGGTGCAAATGGAAAGTTCGAGGGGGGGTTCAAATCGAAAGTTTGTCCCCGGGCACAGGGAAGGGTCGATACGCCTCTTAACCTACACAGGGCCCACACCTACACTGGGCCCACACTCCCACCAGCATCTTACGTATTCTTAAGTCGGCTGATCAAGGAAAATACATGCAATAATAGTAATAATACCAATTGATTTCTTTGAATTATCATATATATTTCAAATTTAATTTTAATGGTGAAAATTACTTGAGACTAATTTGACATTCGTGCAATGTTACAGAACGAGGTACCACTATATATATATATATATATATATATATATATATATATATATATATATATATATATATATATATATATATATATACTAGGCATGCTGCCCAGCTTCGCTTAGGCTTTCAAAAACATTGAGAATTTGAATGCTTAATTAATTCGCCCGAGGGTCGGTCTACGACCTCAGGAGTTCTGAAGAGGTTCCTTCGTGGACAATTTTTTTTTCGATTTATAGCTCATATAAGGCGCCGGTCAGTCGAGGTCTGTTTTGACCCCCTCATCGTAGACCTTTAGGCCAACCGGCACCGGCCCCCGTGTTCTGTCGCCCCAAGGCAAGATCCTGCCAAATTTGAAGCGCCTGCCGCGCCGGGTAGTGCCCGACGTCGGGCACCCGACAACTTTGCTTCATATCTATATATATAATTCTCTTCTGGGAGACGCTCGAAAACAAGCTGTAAACGCGCTCCCTACCACCCCCACCCCTACATGGTCTGGTGAGCTGTTGTTCACTCTAAATGTTTACAAACAGAGCCGGGTTTAGTGACGACTATTAGGGGCAGATAATTTAGTTTGAAACGATTTTA